TGATATCTGCTCTTCGGAAAGTGTTCTATCCTCCGCTAGACCCAGAAGAAGGCCGGTGGAGGCCGTGAAGCCACAAGAGGTGATAGAGTTTGGTGTGGTTCGGTTCGACAGGACGTTCGGAAGGCAAAAACGCTGTCTTGCCCAATTCCCGGGGGACACGGAATCCTGTCAGAAAAATTGACTTTCTCCTTCCCCTCCTTCATGCTTCCGAGCAATGCATTTTAGATTGATCAAGAGTGACACGACAGTCATCGTGATGCTGAGTCAAGTGGACAAGTTCCCGGAGGGGGAATCCCGCTACTACCATGGTAGAGCCGGGCAATAGCGTTGTGAGTCGGATTGTATAGGTACCGTTGGCATGTCTACAACATGTGTTGCAAGTGTCGGTTGATGCTCGGCTACAATTGGATTTTGGGGAGAAGCGTTCAGGACTTCAAGATGAGTCCCCACTGCAGGTCCAGCCGAGTGCGGAGTGTCAGTGCGGTCTCCAGTCTCAAGTATGATGACCCGACTGCAGCAGTGAAATGAGGACTGAGCCACAGCAGTGAGCAGTGAGCACTGAGCACTGAGCACTGAGCAGACCGTCATCCGTCCGGTGACGCTCACTCGTGGATGAGCCACGAGCAATACACTACCCATGCCCCAGTACATAAGCCCCTCGCAGCCTTCGAGTCCAACGTTGATTCACCGCCCTTCAAACAAACATGATCACCATTCCTCACCGGACGATAGTACTTAACATACTCACTCTCGTGAACATCAACAGAGGAAGAGACTACTGAACCTGACAGCCACAAGATTTGTTGAGTCATGATTCAAGACAATTATTCAACTATGCAGTCAACAACTGGGGTCGGCACAACATGAATGTTCTCGCTTCCTATCACCTATTTTGATCCCCGCCTCATCCATCGTCTACTATATGACGATGGTGACTATGACGAGTATGGTGTCACGTGTGAGTCATGTCCACTTCCACTTCCACGTCCGACCACCCACTCCTCACGACGGAACATGCAGCCAGCCCCCACCATCCAACATGGCCCTTTGCATTCATGACTTGTTCGTCAAGGTGGCAGCATCCCTCCTGTCGCGCGCATTAATCATTCGATGAGAAAGGGAGACAGAATGACAGGATGACAACAACTTTATCCGGCCGGTCGACTCAGACTGTCGCAACCGCAAACTTACAAAGTAACCCCGGTCCAATCATTTCGGCGCATGTGTCCCTACTCCTAGCAGTCAGTCAGCTGGAGTCGCTCCAAGTACCATCGCTTCAGGCGTGAGGCAGACCCTCAGAATGGTCTTTTCACATGACCGTTTTCACGTCGTGACCTTGATGGTCCCGACGCACACTTCCATACCTTCTATCGCTCTCTGCTGGCAGTGCCTTGGCGCATTTGGAACACAATTGACTTATACATCCCATCCTGCGTTGGTAGTATGGGGACCGTATTCGGGCAAGTCCCTCTCGATGAGTCGACCAAGGTGAAGCCGCAATGCCGCAATGCCGCAAAGCCGCCAGGGCGGATCGGATTGATGGGCGCCGGGTTCGTAGGGATCCTGCACGGCGAGTGATCCGATTGAATGCAGATCAGGATCAACAGGATCTTGTCAGGGCATGGCTCAGATGTGGATATGTCGGCAGAAGGCTCTACCTACGTCCTATTGCCCTAAAGTAACTTTCATACAGGTTTAGATTCAACTGAACACCGGGCTAGGAGAGTGTGTCAGACTGTCAGTGAGTTGAGAATCCTCGGCTCAGACTGGACTTGAGTTCCACAGTCCCCGCGGTAGACTAGACTGTCGTCGAATACATTTCATCAGCTGACTGCATCCTGTTACATACGTGCAAGACATGACGGTATTAACTATAACGTACTGAGTCAGGGAGTGGTACTCAGTAGTGTCAGTAGTAGTACACCCCAACTTTCGCTACATCTTCGTCAGAAGGGCAGCATTAGGTTTTCCATGACTGAGTGCCGACCGTAAACACGAAACTAGAACTCCCTGCAAACCCAGCCACTTCCCATCTGCGCCTACCACCCAATCGCCATTGACTCTGAGACGGCGTACCCATGTAACTGCTTCCAGACAGATACAAAATTTGAAAACGCCGACTACTACTCAAGGAAAGAGGGCAACCTCAGACTCACTCTACCACTGTACGGTTCGAAGTTGACTCCAAGAATGTGCACATCCCGGCTCCCGTTCCATTCAGCCCAGTCCCAGTCCCAGTCCCAGCCTCAGTTTCACTTCGCGGTCTTGGCCTCTATGATCGACACCAAAGCAAATAGATTACACTACACACTGTGTAGTACACAGCACAAAGTCTACAAACTCCCATCTCCAAACGATCATATCCTCATCAAATCTCCCAGAGTATCTATCCCACCTCCAAACTATCATATCCTCATCAAATCTCCCAGCGTATCTATCCCCACCTAGCCAAGGCGTTCAGGATCGCAAACCCAGGAACCACCAGATCAAACCAATCCGCATTACTGGACATGCGGACATGCTCGACCCGTGGGATCCCCCTTACTTGCAGAATCCGAGCCCGAGCCCCGACTCCACCGATGCAGACTGCAGCCGTGAGCAGTGCAAGCCTGCAAGGAATGATGGGCCTTTTAGGTTTCGACGCTTTTGTTGCACTCGGAGGTCTTATGTAGAACATGTACAGTGTAGTCTCCAAGTTTTTACTTTGTAGTTTGACCTTTGTAGCTTGTACAGTATGACCCGCAGGCTGGCGATGTGCATGCGTCCCTCGGTCGGAGATGGTCGATACGAGTTTTCTTCTAGAATATTGCAGTGTTGCAGTCAGTACTCAGTAGTCACTGATCAGTAGTCAGTGGTCCACTAGTTAGTAGTCACTAGTTGTAGTTACGTGAGTAGTCACCAGTTGGAGAGACCAAGGTGTTACAGCGTCAGTAGTACTGTACAAGTACACCAAGGTGCATGATAGCCGCATATACAGTTCAACAACTGCATTGGTCTGTTCAGCCAGTATACCTCGCCTCGCCCTGAGGCTGAGGCGTCCACCTCACATGATAAGGCGAGAAACCGGCTTTTCAAGCAGGAGGTCCAGTAACCAGTGACTTCAAGCCATGCGGCGGAACTGGGAACTTCCAAGGGAAGTGTGATGATCCGGCTGCAGGAAGGGGAATGTGACCACGTCCAGCTGTGCTGTACACTGTGGACAGAGTACAGAGTACAGAGTACAATTCAAGTTACTTGATGGGATTACTCGGTGAGTCGGTAATACTGAATACTTACACTTACTATCGTACTGTAGAAGCCTAGAAGGTGTGACGTTTTGGGGGGGTTTTTTTTTTTTTGGGGAAAATGAACGATTGTATGACTATGTGTACATAGCATACGCGGTGACGCCGGTAGAACCGTCTGATTTGAATAGTATTTGATTTAGGATGGGAGATTTCTCCACGACTATTTAGTATTAGCTGTTTAGTCGTTACTACCGCATCTACCAAACAGTGGGAAACATGTCTAGACGAGGGTTCAGCGATCAGGAACACCATAGATCCAAAGTTAAACGAAATTATGGGCGGGGATGAGTGGATGGATGGAAAGATTAGAGCAACGCCACCCTGAAGGAGATAGGGTGAGTGTGAGTAGTTGTAGTGTTACACTACCCAATTTAGTTGTTGATTGTAACATTAGTCACTGTCCGAATTGGATACTACTCTGATGATTTGATCGAGCGAAAGTGATAGAGCATATATCAAAGAGTCAAAGATCATCACGTCTATTGAGGTCCAACCTATGACCTGCCCAAAGGGCACTCCAAGCCACTGTCCCCGTCGTGCCCAGTTGCCCACATTCATCCAGGATAGCGCAAGCTGGAAATCCCGGACACAAGACGGGACCAACGCACTGGTCCGGATAAAGTCCCGCGATTCCACTTCCCCCATCCCCCAGTCGAGGCGTCTTTCCGGAAAAGCAACGGCCGGGAACTAAATAAGGACCCTGGAGGATCCCAGTCGTCTCAGTGCTATTCTGTTTCGTGCGAAGCAGCCGGTTGGTAAATGTGGATGCCAGCAACGGACGATCGAAACGATATGTGCGCTTCTTTTTGGAACAAAGCTGTCTCCACGCTTGGACCATTTCGCCCAAGTGACGCCGAAGACGGCTACTGCAATGCGATCATTTTACCAATCCATGACTAACGTTGCCACTTTCTCGATATAGTCATACTTACATTGTATTTCATCGGTAGGATGATGAGTTGGGTTCCGAGTTGTGTGTCGCTCTAATCCTCAAACACCTCTTGAGATAGAATAGTCGTATCAATTAGAAGAAGATAGGGTCTTCGAGCTAGTAAAGGAGAAGAACCCTTAATATTCCTCTAATTTAGGGGGGCGTATCTCGTGACCAGGTCGATCACCACATCAGGGTCAAGTTTGTCAACTGTCAAGGCCGAGTAGTGTCGACTCTGAAGCAGCGCAAAAGTTGCCTAGTGATATGTCAAGGCTTCTATGCCTCTTTCTCCTCCTCTGGATCTATTCCTCTGGTTGAATAGTCTCGCGGAATCTATATACTGAAGGGAATCAAGTCTCTCCAGAGTCAGTACTGATGGCCCATGTCTTCTTGACTCGACTCGCTCGAGCCTCGGTCTCGAGGGCCAGTAGAGATCTTGCCAGCGCAAGCTGTGACTGGTCAATTTGACAACAATATCCTCAACCTGGCGGTGATGACTCGGCTGCCGACTATTTAATGCGAAAGACAAGAGCAAAGACGAAGATATTCGCGGAGGAAGATTGCACTAGTCTGATCTAATCTGATCATCTTGGTCTCTTTTCCTCATTTTGCGAGACGATTCCGCTGGAGCCAGCAACCACCATCCTCACATCCAACAGAGGAACTCGGTCCTCAACTCGACAATTGTATCTCTGACAACATCAACATTACAAACCCTTCTTCCCACTCATCCATCCATCCACCCTGAATTCCCAAATCGCCTATTCCATCCATTCATCAACATGCCTCCCACCCAAAACGAAATCGCCCAACACTTTCGCACTCTCCGCCATCCAAACCATCCTCACCTCCACCCGCCGCATCAATCCCGCCCTCCCCATCACCGTCGATCTCCAAGACGGCTACGCCCAGGATCTGCCCTCTCTCGCGGCCCTCACCAAACAGGTCATCGCGCTCGGCGCAGTCGGATGCAACCACGAGGACGTGGACAATGCAACAGGTACACTGCGTCCGCTCGACGAGGCGGTGGCTCGGGTGCGGATCGTGATGCAGGCGGCGCGGCAGGTCGGGTGTCCTGATTTTGTGCTGAATGCGCGGACGGACGTGTTGTTCCAGGGTAGGGATGGGAGGGTGGAGGATGCGGTGGAGAGGGGGAAGGTGAGGGTGCTGGCGAGGGAGTTGCAGGGGAGGGTGAGTGTGAAGATGAATCTGGGGGGAGAAAGACAAGGGATGTTCTTGACGGCGCGGGAGATTCGGGAGTTGGGAGTTGCGAGGGTGATTGTTGGGCCGGAGTTGTGGAGGATTGCGATGAAGGCGATTCGAGAGCAGGCCGAGTTGGTGTTGTCCTTGTGAGAACGGGTTTCACGGAGATGGATGTAGGGAGGTGTGATGGCCTGGATCAGGTAGGTTCTTTGCTGATATGGACATTTGCAAAGATTCAAAAGCGTCACATGATGATTTATAAGTTGTTTCGGTACCTACTGATCTAGGTCTATATCGACCAAATCCTATGAAGAGACTGGAAGTTAATTGCCTTAAATAATCATGGAGCTTGACCCTGTCCAGAACACCTTTGATGACCCAATATGCTTGGACTTGCATGTACATTCAGCCTCTGGACCTGAAGATCGAATGTAGACTCGAACAAACTACCTTACGCCATCATGCAATCCAGAGCAACACCAACAGATCTTCCCTTATCGTTGCAATGTACCATCCATCCCCTAGATCATCAAGCCTACCAACCAGCTAGCAATCTCCATGAACCTTTCTCGTCTTCCTCTCGCACCCTCCCCACACACACACACCGTTAATATTCTCCCACCATCCATCCCCATTCAACCTCGCCCCAGCAAATCCACCTGACCTCAAACCACGCTACTGCTACTGCTGCTGCTGCTGCCAATGCCGCCCCTACTATCAACAAACACCTGCGTACAAACACCCCCAACACACCCGTTCCTCCACGAATAGCAACAATTCTCATCCGTCAAGCAAGGCCCACCATCTTCCTGACAATAGGGCCATTTTTGATCCGTCGCTCGACATTTATGAGCGGCGCAGTAACCAGAACAGCAATTACCCATGACGTTACCGGGGAGAATGCACTCAGCTGGACCGAGAAACAGAGCGTCAGTATGAATCCGCCAGAGCAGTCGTTGAAGGACCTTCTCGTCTATACATGACACGTTTGGCTGATAAAGATACATCCCACTTGACCGAGCCTGTGGGAACAGGCCGTCGCGGAAGACAGGCTTGCCCATCGATATGGACGTGGAAGCGTGGAAGCGTGGAACTTACAGTATACACTCAGACACGTCGGCGCCGGCACACACGCGGTCACTGTAGTGGTGGTCGGTTCGCCCAGAATGGTGGTCGTACATAGCTCTGTGCCGGTGCAAGAGGCGCTGCCACATGCGTGGGTTCCGGCGACTAGACGCAGATAAGTGATGGGTTGTCGTTCACAGTTCGAGTTACTTGCGTGAGGTCGGGAGGGAGATCGTGCTTGAATGAGAGAAGATGGGGATTGTTTCAAGGGCCGGGAAGATCAGGAACAGGGACGTTGTGTGGGCGAGGCTGGGCTGTACAGTACTACATACCGCAGAAGGGGACCTGGGAGAGCAACGCGATCAGAATGGAAGTGGGATGCATTTCGAATGGTTGATTTGGGCTGGACGGGTGTAAAGACAACCGTCTTGATGCTTGATAGGGTTTTGTTGTAGTGATGTCCGTCCCGAGCAGATGTGCTTCCAGGTACGTCAAGTCGTGGTGGTGGTGGGTAAATGCTAGAACGTCTAGATGGAACAAACCGTCCAAAAGAAACGATAAGAATAGCTCAACTCAATTCATCGATCACTTTCAATATGATTACTCGAAACCATCCAGCTCGGGGACTGCTGTCAAAAGCGCAGGTCCTCTATAGAAGCAACAAACAATACCAGGTACAGTGTAAAAGGACATACCTCGCTAAGATACTTCAAAGCTCGTAGAATAAAAACAACCAACACCAAATCCATCCCCCGCACACCCTGCATCCTCCGAGTCTCAAAATAGACATCCCGGATCAAATTGACATTATGACATAATTCAGTTCCAGTCCTGAGTCCTGACACTGTACTGAGAAGTTGTCATTTGATCGCTCAGACCGAAGACCGAGACACTCACTGAGTCAACCCCCGAGTGGTTGCATTGCGATTCCTTCTCGCCGAGGACCCTGCAGCTCTGCTGCGAGGTGTTTTCCACGCCGTCCGTCCGGCCTCGAAATATTTTTTTTTTCCATGTGAGAACTATACTATAGTCTATATAGAGTACATTATACACTGTACACTGCCTGATAGAAGCTCATCATCACCTCCCCCCTCCCCCCTCTTCTCAAAAAAAGAAAAAGGAAGTGAGATCTGGTCCAGCTATAATATCAGCTCAGATGATATTGGTATAGTAGAGTTTGTCGAGCAGATGCACTACTAGTACCTAGCCTACCTGGTACCAGTACCACTGTCTACTGTCTACTGTCCAGTAAGACACTGACAGTAGCTAGAGTGTTTCCCCCCAGTCACGCCCAGCAGCAGGCAGAATAACAGAGCTAACAACAAATATTTCAAGCGCGATTCAATAGCGCAGTGTATAATCAGGTAACCAACTCAGACAGACTCCAATGGGTGATTTTGAACGAGTACGGTAGTCGGGTATAACAGAGGACGAGGGACTGGTCATTTTCATCGAGCGAGAGGTACCTATGGACTTTCAGAGATGCTTGCTGGAAGTGCTTGGAGTTTGTACTTTGTAAGTTTACACCATTCTTATAAGCAGATGATATGATATAATGAATGACTGAGCTCAGTCAGGCCCAATACATCACCAGATAGTGTGAATTGCCATAACGTACACAATATTGAACATGAACAAGAATCCAAGCGAATGAATAATCAGAGCCAAAAGAAAAGAAATACAGAAGGATGTATCGATGTAAATGCAAAGGTAAGCGACTAAAGCAATCAAAAGTCCACACTCCATGATATGTAATTAGTTATAAGCGGTAAAAGAGCAAGTGCAAGAGCAGATGATCTATTCTCGATCATGATGTTGAAGCAACCCAGAACCCAACCCTGACACCATATCGCAATGGGATTCTCTTCCGAGAAGAAAACAGAAGAATATGAAAATATACTTCAACGAGAGGCGCAAGATCCCACCAACACACAAAATACAAAACGGTCCAGTACAAAATGCTTTGCCCCATAACCAAAAGCTAAACAAATGATCCCCAGAAACTGCGCTCTGTCGAGGCTGTGTCCTCTCGTCCAGTTTGATCTGGTCTGGCATTTCCATGTCCTGCACGCACACAGAAAACAAAGACCATGGCACAATTCAGGCTCGGTGGTCTGATCGCATGCGCGATTGAGGTGGGGATGATAGTCCATTGGTGAACTCCCTCGAGCAGATGGAAATTAGAGACGATAATAGTTCAAGCACCCAGACAGCATAACCGGGTATTGATGATTTGATCCAGCTGCCACAACGGAGCCGGATGCGGGGGAAAAAAAAGACAATATGGAGATGAGATGGTTGTAAACACAGAGGGTGTGTGAAAGACCTTGATGAAGGTCCACGGGGAATCGAAGAGAGGGGGAAGAAAGGGTGGTGACATATGCAAGATGACAATGATTCTGACAAAGGAAATGGAAATTTCAAAACAACGTGAAGACAATAAGGAAAAGAGGGTGATAGTATGGGAAGGGGGTTAGGAGATGAGGGGAGGGGAAAGGGGGAGGGGAAACATCATTCTTTAATGACAAAGGAAATATTCGTAATCAAAGGCGTTCCTCCAAACGCGCGAAAATTTCCCGGTGACGTTGGCATTTCATACTGCGGTCGACCAGGTATGTTCACCCATTCGAGACTTGGTCTCGTAGTTGTCCGGCTCAGTGCTGTTGGGACGACGGATGGTAGAGTTGGGAAAGTACATATGAGGAGGCATGGATGTGGGATATGATGAATGACTCGGTTCGGGATAGGCAAATTCGTTGACGGATCCTGGGGAAGGCATGGTGCCATGCGACGGAGAAGCCCACCCCATGCTCGTCATATGGGGACTACCAGTGACGCTGTTTGGGCGGTGATCATTGTTCGCCGGAGGTTCCAGAGGCTGCGGTGGGCCGTATGGATTGGAGGTCATCGAAGGCCGCGGATGAGGTGCGCTACCATAACTCGAGAGTGATGGTGAACTGGCGGTGGGGGAAGCACGAGGACTACCTTGGCCGAAATCATTGCGAATATGAGGCGGAAGGGACCCCGTGCTCATATAGTAGTCGGCGGAGCGATGCATGGTCAGAGGGGGCAACTCTCCGGGCGACAGAGACGCGTGGTGCGAAGGGGACGGTGTCGAATGGATCGAAGCATGATCGGGAAACATTCCTTCAGGGCCACGGCCTCGCTCCTTGTTCTGGCGCAAGTTGGCTTCGGTCTCGGCGGCCGCTTCCTCAATCGTTCCAGTGTGATGATTTTGATGGCGGGTCAGTGTGGTCCGGCGCGTAAAGGTCTTCTGACAGTTGGCGTAGGGGCACTTGTAGGGTCGTTTTCCGGAATGAATGCGACGATGACGGGCAAGGGAAGAGGAATCGCTAAAGGGCTGTAACAGAGGTAGAACAGGTCAGAGGAAAAAAGTTCCCAGCAAATGAAATCAAAAGAAGGTCGGTCGCGGAGTTCGACCGTGAAATGGATCCATACCTTGCCGCATCGCTCACACATATGAGGCTTCTCGCCCGTGTGGACTCGCGAGTGAACAGTGAGAGCCGACCGCTGAATGAACTGCTTTCCGCAGCCAGGCCATTCACAGGCGTGCGGTCGAATCCCAGTGTGAATGCGCTCTAAGAATCACAAAGAAAACCCTCGATGTTAGCAACCTGGCTTTTCGCGCGCCGACCTTTCACATCATCACCCGGGGGCAGCTTGAATCATACCGTGTCTCGCGAGGTCACTGCGTCGAGCAAACCCCTTATGACAAGTCCCGCAGTGAAATGTCTTCGGGGGCGCTTCGCCGACAGGCCGTCCAGTCTGCATCTGTTGTTGTTGCTGCTGTTGCTGCGGCTGTGACTGTTGCTGCTGCGTCATTTGCGAATCCCCAGCATACCCTCCCGGCACATATCCCATATTCCGCGGAGGTGGCCCGGTAGGCTGGCCATAGTAGAATGTCTCGGCTAATCCCTGATCCATCGAGACCCCCGGAGGAGGATGAGGAGGGTATGCATTGACGGAGTTGTCGGAAGCGCCTGGTTCCGCCTTCATGGTCTGTTGGCCCAAGTGGGCGGTTTGCATGTATTGATGATGTAGCTGAGCTTCTGCGGCGGCGGCGGCTGCGGCGGCAGAATTCTTGCGATTAAGAATAGTCGTGAAGTCCATGACACGACTGGGGTGGATAATGCGAAGGAGGCCGTGGTGGAAGGGTTGTCTCGGACAGATTCGTGGACGAAGGCTTTTTTTTTCTTCCTCCTATGACTGATGGTGTTCCTTTTCCAGACGGCGGGATTCCAAAATGTGACGCGTCCTTTTTTGAAGGAGGGTTTCCACTTCACGGGGCGACCTCGAGTTCTCCGATCGGGACAGAACTCCGAGTATCGAGTATCTTGTGTCGACTTGAGAAGTTGTGTCTCGACCCCGTGCGCCTCGTCAATATCGTTGACGGTTCGATTTGGAAAAGGCGGTCGCGACGGGATTGCGGAGCCTGTGACGGGGTGTATACGTTAGACTTGGCAAAACAAAGAAGAACACGAGTCGCAATATGGTGACTCGTCCGGGCGCCAGTCGACTCTAGTATGGCTTTCGTCGTTCCCTCAACACCGGTGCGCAAACCCGACCCGTCGTCTTTCTTTTTGGATCCCCGGCGGTTCGCGCGCAGCCAAGTGTGGAGAGAAGGACGGGATGCAATGGCGATCCGTGCAGTATAAGAGGCGCACAACAAGCTCCGCCGCAGAAAAGGAAGCGATGACGGACTGACGCCTGGGATTTTCGTCCAAAAATTGGGTGTTGGGCATCAAGGGCCAAGCCAGGACGAAAGACGCCGGGGTGGAATTCAAGGACCCCCCCCCCCCCCCTCAAGAAAGACAGGAGCGCGGTTCGGCCGGGTAGCGATGTCACAGGCAATTTGGAGACGAGCCGCGGCGAAGCCCAGAGCCAGTTGCACTCGAGGAATCGGGGGCCGAAATGCGCGACAGAAAGGCAAGAAGGGACCACTTACCAGTCACGGATACCAGACGAGGAACGTCGTCAAAGATCAAGCGTTTGCCTGGGGCGAGACGCGCAGATGAAACACCGACGAAAAATTTCAGGAAGATGAACACTGAACGGAGAGGAAGAGGAAGTTGGCGGACGGGGGGGGGGGGGGGGGGGGGGACTCTAGCTGAGGCGTGGGAAACAGAGTCGGTGGGGGGAGAGGAGATTCTTGTCCAGTTGGAGCAGGCGGAAGGCTGATCGTCTCGGAGCTGAGAATGCAGGGGAGCCTGTCTGATTGAAAGACGAGGTGAGACGGGGATGGCAAGTAGCGACCAGCAAGAGGAAAGAGGGAGGAGGGAGATGGGAGATGGGTGAAGAAGAGAAGAGAGAGGTGAGGATGATGGAAGAGCTGGGTAGGCTTGGGAACCCTGAAGAAGTAGTCGATTATTAAGACGAGCAGGAGATTCCGGGTCTGGAGTCAGGATTTCAAGGGTGGAAGGAAAAGGAAGCCGGGTGGAAAATAAGGATCGTGCATCAATTTAAACAGCAGCACCTTTGAGAAAGTTGGGCCAGATTTGAGGGAGATTAGGAGGGGGCAAAGCATCGATTTTGGGGGGGGGGGGGGGGGGGGTGTTTGGGCGTTTAGGGAATTTAGGTGTGGTAGGTGCTACTGACAAGGCGCCTACGGTGCATCATTCGAGAATCCCAAAAGAAGGTGCGAGAGGGGCCTTGCCCCGGTGGATTTTGGGATTCTTCTAAATATATGAATCAACCAAGTCTGGATTAGGACGGTATCCTGAATCCAATGCCGATAAATTATGATTCTGATTTATTGTTCTTCCTCTTTCAATCACTTGGACCAGAATCGGATATTTTGAAATTACCGATTTTGGCCCTCGATATCTTCTTTCGTGCGAGGTACCAAGCATTGGAGTAATGGAGTTTTGAGAGTCTGGCGCTCATTGTGCTGTCCATCGAGAGTCTCTTAGGGCTGGTGTGCCGCTCTTCATCGCGTTCTACCAGTGCTATTGGCAAGAATCTGATGGCGCGGTGGCGCTGTGTCTGATTTGTACTCGTGCATACTCGACACTGTATACTGTATCCTGTACAGTGTCCAGCAGTGGCCGTGGTGCGAGCTGAAACCGATGCGGTGAAAACACGCCGATCCGCCTGGTGGCCATCGCAGTGTCTTCGAGAAGGATAGTCCTCGTCCGGTACCAGGTGATGATCTGATCTCCGCTCGGTCAGCACACGGACAACTCAGGGAGCGGAAGATCAAAGACATGACCACTTTGATGAACGTGAAGAAAGTAAGGGGTCTCCTGAGTCTGTATCTAGTAACCTGGTATCTAATCTCAAGGTAGGTAGTCGGTAGTCGGTACCCATCTACTACCAATCTACCTATGCGCCTCTCTCCTTTTCCTCATCCAAACCATCCTACTACTATTGTATGAGAAGTGGTGCATCCTTTTAGCGGTTGTGCCAAGGCAGCGCAGCCTTACCTATAGCAGAACCAAAAGGTCCCGACGATCCTTGAAAGGCGCGACTATTGACAGTTCCGCAGGTATAATGCTCAGGTTCCAGGGCAACAGAGACCAAGAACCGAGATCTCATGTGATCACCCTTTGTACCCTCATGTGCATCCTACGTATATCCCTGTCTCATCTCCTATTGTCCGCCCCCTAAATATCATCATATGTCATCGCATAGCTGCGCGAGACCCTAATCATCCTCTAATATCTCCCTAATCATTCTCTAATATCTGTCCCGAGCGCACGATCACCTCAAGCTTCTCCCCCATTCTTTTTTTCATATGAATAACCCTCTTTCACTCTCTCTCTCTCTCTCTCTCTCTCTCTCTTCTTGCTCTCAAATCTGCCGCATTCGCACCCCCAACCCCAAAATCGCCAAATGTCGACCCGTCCTCCTGTGTCGTCAACCCAAACATGCCTGTGCCCAGTCTAGCGTGCCCCTGAGTGGACACCGCGGGAGAAGCGCTAGAAGGGTACCAGGCCGCACCAGAAGCCCCCCCCCCGAAGCAGGGCCCCGTCCGCGCGGATCCACCACAACGTGGGCATTTTCCCCCTTTCTATTTTACAGTCCCCTGGCCCGGAGGTCGCGTATGGTGGGGTGCAGGTGCCTGTGAAGAAACTGAAGATCAAGGTTGAAGGTAGTGCAATACAATACAATACAGTCATCACCGAACACCATCACACATCCGGTGGATGTATCATGTCACCACCGGATACGCCGGTCAGAATTAGTAATACAACCATGAACCATCAGAGAGGTCCATTGACTCCATTCTAATCTAAAGATTGCTCAAGAAGGAAAGGTCGCACCAGAATGATCTACGTCGCTTGCAATCCGTTGACCACCAACAAAAAGGAGGAGCCTAAAGAGGATGACATCAACAACGAGCCAGACCTCAGACCTCTGCCCTCCAGTCTTTGCACAGCAGAAAGGAATTGGATTGTCGAGATGTATTCCATTTCTCGGTCCTCGGTTACAGCAGCCTCGAGGGTCGTTTACTTGAACACCTCCGTGTCCAGCCGGATGAGCTCAAACACGCAAAAGTATATTACCTGCCCCCATGTTTCGCATTCCACCAGACTACAGTGATCAGACGACGCTGGAGGCACCATCCATGGCAGACTTCATACGCAGTGGAGAATTACTCCGGACTTCATCGCAGGTCATGAGGTTGATTCCATCACACTTCCTACAATAGACAGGACTAGCCAGGACTAGCCAGAACTAACCACGGCGTGAAACAAGCGTTGCGTAAACGCAAATTCTAGGCAGTGGCACAACGAAAGGGCGGCGGACGCAACAGCTCGAGTGGTTTTGCACTACGAAGAGGACAAGGCAGTGAGTGGCACACAGCTGGTGGTAGAACGATGTCGGGTGGACCCGGTAAAAAAGGGCAATGACGCACTTGGATAGACTCGAGCAAAGGTGACTCGGGGGCTTATTTCGAGTTTGTGTTCCCCCTGGGAATATGCACGTGAGGGCAAAGTACCGTCCATATTAGAAAAGCTTGGACCGATCAACCGAGTGCTTCCTGTTCCTCGTCAATGTGGTTGTTATGCTTTACCTCGGTGCTCTGCGCCCGTATAATTCCTGCTCATTTCATTCTTCTTCACCCGGGGAGACCGATGATTCAGATCCGAGTGCCAGGTCTCTGTCGAGTCCAAGTCGCGTTTCCGAGCAGTAAATAATTATACACAGACTCCTAACTCACAGTGAGTTCACTGACGATGCCGTTCGGACGTTATTCTGTGCCGAGAACCAGATGACCACGTGAGCTACCGGGTATCTCCTCCCAATTGTCCAGAGGCTCTTACGTAGAGTCCACGAGGACGTGGACACGGATAATGGTAGTGGACAGTGGACACTGGACACTGGGACACCCGGCCATGCTCCGATCGTGGAAGAGAAACTGCGATCGGGGCGTGTGGACGGTGGCCCGCTGCACACGGGTGGATCAAGAGGCACACTTTCCCTTCCCGCTCTTCTTTGCTTCACTCTACCTCGGCCGTGGTGGAATCCGAGGGTTCCTCTTCGGATCAGGACCCAGATATTTGCTGGTCATTGGGTGAAGGTCTGCTGAATGGATGGAGCAGACGGACATTGGGAATCTCTTGCTGCTGAGGGTATCCGAGCCGCTCAGATTTGCTCATGGTCAAATCTACCTCAAATCTACCTTATCCCCAAACAAGTCTCACAAGATTGCCTCCCGGGCTTATGTCGTCATCGTCCAAGTCTTTTGCGCAACTACCTCTGGATATGAAGATGCACGTTCGTACGCTCGTCTCAGCTTCGGCCAGCCGTTCTTGCCGCGCGATCTCTCTCTTGAATGCATCGCAGAGTCACGTTTCTTTGATGAATGAGGGTGATTGGGTCCGCCAGGATCATGACTCGGATGGTGCGACAGTCTCAACCAAATTACGAGGACGCAACGGCCACACGGACCGGCAACCGATCGAAAGTCCCCAATTCAGGCTCATATGATTACAGGGTGAACACGGCAGTCACAATGGGACCAAGGGTTCCAACAGCCGACCCGCCCCAGTTGGAGGATCGGGCTCGCAGGAGCCACAGTTTTCCAAAACGTCTCGTGATCAGAGGAATCATGGATTGTGTCGTTGAGCGAAGCCATGCAGTTATTGCAATGACTCCCGGGTACT